ACGCCTCAGTGATGGCTTTGGGCCGCCTTGGTCTGAACGGCTTAGCGCGTTATTCTCAATCGTTGGCTGCTCCGCCCAGGTCTTCGGCAGTCAGCGTCGAACCCTTGGTAGCGGTGCGTCGACCAACGAGGCGGGATCGAGTTCCAGCGCTAGAGATATCTATCCAACGGCCCCGCCATCTTCCATCACCCTCAGGACATGATCGGTTTCAGAACTACCGAATGGCACGACACATGGGGCGCCCGCGTCACCGACCCCGACGAAATCTCCGAGTGCGTTCTTGGTGCGATTAGGGTGGCCATCCGCGCTGATCCTGCACCTCCTCCTGAGATCACGATTCGGGATGTACGGAGAGCCCTTCGGGCCATGAGGCCCAAGGCGGGCCTGGGCGTTGATGGCCTCGCGCCGTGCTATATACATATATAGAGGCTTCACGACGCTGGGCTGACTGATTTGGTTGGCCTCCTCGATCGAGAACTCCCTCGCGTGACCGGCGCAGGCCGCGCTCATCATTGGGCAACTCGCTCCCGAGGAAGTACTGGGCGACCGAGTTATCGGATTGCATTCAATGGTTGGGAAAATTTGGAACATGGATCGCAAACCGCGCGCGGCGGCCTGGGCACCCCGCCACGAACCGCGCAAGGACGCTGCTATCCGCGACAACTCATCTTGTCAAAAGGCCCCTCGGAGGGTGCTCGATGAGGAGTTGGCGGGGGGCGTTTGGCGCATCGCGCGCCCATGCCGCTGCAAACACATTTGGGTATTATGACAACATGATTTGGTCCAAGCTTGCCAGGGCGGCGATCCGCCCCGAGTTCCCACCCGCGTTTCTGTATCTCGAGCTACCACAATGCGCGCATCCACTGCCTCTCCAGCAGTTTGGATCGATTTTGTTTGTTGCGAGGGCTGTCGAACCAATATGCAGCATCATGCAGGGCTTGCGATCTGGCACTATATTTCGCGAGGGCTATAACATATTTCATCATGGACAAAATCTGTACTGCCAACGTCAGGTGTAATCGCAGACGCTGGGTCGACAACCTCTCGCAAGCCGCAAATGGTCCGAAGTCCCAGGCCAAGCGGGACATCCTCAAGCGCGTTGCGTCCCCGGCTGCTGGCGCGAATAGTCAGGGCCTCAGACTGGCCAGCAAGTTGGTCGCCACATGCTCCAAGGCTGGCCAGGCCGCGGAGATCGCGCGAGCTCTGCGTTCGCGAGAAGGGTAGTGGTCGCGGCTGCGAAGCCCGCATCCTACCTCGGGGTTGACCTCGAAGCTAGCTGGCGGCATATTTGCGCGCAGAGAGGAACTCAACGCCAAGCATCTCACTGCGCACAAGAAGGTTGTCAAGCTCACTCGCGCGATTCGGCTTGCCCGTCTCACCTCGCGTTTGGGCGTCAAGGTGCGTGGGCAGCAGGTAGCTACGGCTACCGACTTCACGGTGTTCCCGGACAGGAACTGGTAACTTGTAGGCGTCGGCTGATGGGCGGCCTGCAGTGCTCGCGCCAGGGGCCGACGCCTCGCGACCTTACATTGGGTCTCGAAGCTCATGGCCAGGACCCCGATGCACGGCTCGTGCACGGCAAGTTTTCTCTTTGGCTTCAACAACGGTGCGCGCGACCAGATAGGGCAGGGATCATTCTGCCCTGGCCCGAGCTACGACAGAAGCTGGAATGGATGACGCCTGCGCAGAGATCCAAGCACGTTCGTGGGCCCTTGCCATCATGTATCATTTGTTGGACCTGGGCCGGGTACCCGGGATCCCCGACAGCCTGGGGCCCTCTTGGCAGCTGCCCGTGGGAGTTCACGGGCATCAGCGTCACTGGCATTCAGGCGATAGTCGTGGCCAACTTTTCTAAATTCTTTACCGACTTGGAGGCTACGGCGGTGGCAAAGCAGTGGATCAGCGCGAGCAGGCACCACGATGGCGAGGGACTCCAAGAAGGCACCTACTGCAAACCCGTGCAACACTTATAGGCCATCCCCAAGATTGGTCGACGTCGTGCTGGTCTGCAGCTGAGCATCGCAGCGTGCGGAGCGTAGAGCCCAAGGCGAGGCAGGTCGAGCAACTCAGGCTTCACGAACAACTACATTGTGTGTGACCGTTGTGGCGAGCAAAGATAGACTTTTCATCATCGGTTCTGGCGCTAGCTGGGCCATTTGCCATTTTTTGGCATCGAAGGCCCTGTCCTCAACGATGGCCCGAAGCACCGCCCCCACTGGTTCAGGATGAATTGGGATTACATGGGTCTTAACGATGGCGTGGGTCGTGAATGCCTTCCCTGCGGGACCGAGCTGAGGTCGACATCTGATTTCGGGGACGCACGTGGTGGCCACGCATCTATGTATCCCCCGCTCAGGCGTGTTGCATTGGGCATTGCGGTTGTCAGCGCTTTTGTAAGGAGCCGAGCTCTATGCACCGACGCGTTTTCTGGCCCCGCACTGAAACTCGCACAGGAAAACTGATCCTGGTGTATACGGGATCCTTGTGTATACATGTTTCGTTCCTTCTCAGGGGAACCACACCACCCCGACGTCGCCCCCGATCCTCAAAAAAATCTTGTGATCGAAAAGTACCCCGCCACTGGCTTTGTATATGTTCCAGTTCGCGATGTTGACTCGGTTCGGATCGATGGCGCAATTTCTGGGGGCTCTGGCGGGACCTCGCCGAGCGGTGGCTCGGGGCGAACTCCCGGCCCTGTTGATGGCAGTTCTCACCCCGAACGGACATACGACGTACGTCACGGACTGTGAGGGAGTCTTCAAAAAGAGGTCAGAACATCCACCCCCATGAAAATTAACCAGGCAAGCGAAGCCGTTTAGTAAACGCACCAAAGGAAGGAATCGAACAGGGCAGGGCTGTGTAGTAAACGCCCAGGGCCGTTAAGTAAACATCAATTGTCGGGTCCTGGTGGTTTTTCCTCCCTTGATCAAAGGCTGGACGGCCCGAACGTGCCTCAGCCCGTATGGAGCCGGCGCCGATGTCTGGGCCAGGATCGGGCTACTCCTACGCGACAAGGGCCCAGCCCTGACCGCAGCCAAACTAGTGGATTCACATCGGGACGGCTCTGCGGTATTCGACGGAGTGGCTGCCAGGTGGATGGCTATAGGCCAGCATGTGGTTGACAAGATAGTGCGGCATGCTGCACTTCGTGTCCGGTTGGATGCTTAAGTTCGGTTTCGGGTTCTGCAAGTTGAGAGACCAGATTTCTTGGTGAGACATCGGCTACTACTTGCTGCGCTGGCTTGTGCTCAGGATGAGGCGCCCAAGCGAAGAGGTGATCCCCTCCTTCTCCTTCCCTTCCGCCCACCCCTGCACAGTCAGTTGTAGCTAATTCCGATACATCCTACGCCCTCGACGATGTTTCGGGACCGCGACCCTGGCGACTGCAGGTCTTTAGAAGGCCAGTCCCTGCTTCCACCCTGTGAACCTACATGGTTTTTCTCCACACACACACACACCTTCGGGGCCCTTGATCAACTTCGTTTAGTGGTGGAGAAAATCCAGAAGTGCCATAGTACGAACCTCTGCACTAAGCTCAATATGTGGTTTTGTGGAGTCTGTGGTAGCATAGCCAGTAAGCGTGCCAGTAATCTACACAAGCAGTGCGTATTGAAGGCCACACCGACAGGGAAGGAATCTATAAGGAGGATCCGATGTGGACTCTGGCCGAAAGTCCCAAGTAAGGCCAAGAGAGAGAGAGGCTCGCCCTGGGCCCGATCGCAATCCCACCTGCCTGGTGTAAGGCCCTCTTCCTTCCTGCAGCCTATAGACATTCTCATTCCCATTCCTCTTTTTCCTCATCTCCCTCCTCCCTCCTCCCTCTTTCGAGGGGGGGATCGACTACAGAATTGATCTACCCCAGACTTAGTTTGCCGTCGAATCTACGAAGAATACAAGACATGTTGAATAGATCTACGGAGTATTCGATCCGTAGACTGGACGGACAAACCGGGTAAATCGATTATGCAGTCGATCCCCTACTCGACTCCTGGACAGGCTGCCGAGTCCGCCTCTCCTACGGGCCTCGCGCCGGGTCCCGAGGCGAGCCCCTGGGAGCTCCCAGGCACCCCACGTCGCGCTTTCCTCACAGGCGTGGCTCGCCAGAGGCCTGGACCTCTCCCTGGGGACCGCCTCCTCCTCCCGAACCGCTCTTCGACGCTCCCGGGGTCCAGTGGGGCCGCAAGGCGCCAACAACCGCCCGACAAGTTTCTGCCGCACCACTGTGCCAAACCCCCTGGCGACGGCTGGCCGCCGACGGCCCGTGCCCTGCACAGGTGCGTCTAAGACGAAGCCAGGACGAAGATAAATTCGAGTGAGGATACACCGAGAGTCTCCGAGATCTGGCGGCTCTAGAATATGTATCGGGCGTCGCAGCCTTCTCAGAGCGTTCCGGAACGCTCTGAGAGCGTTCCAGAACGCTCTGGAACGGATTTCTCCTCGTCCTGGCCCCGTCCGAATTTTGTCTTCCGCCCAAGGGATGATGGCGTGCCTCTCCGTTGGGGCCGCGCTGCCCTCGCCTCCGGCAGCTTGCGCAGTCCGCTCACCTCGTTGCGAGAATTCTCTACGCCTGAGGCCTCGTCGCGCGTTCCCCCTCCGCGGCCGCCCATATATTCTCCACTTGTCTAGTGTTAGGTCGGGCATGTCCTCCTATAGACGGACTGCGGAGGAAAAACAAAAAATGTTCACGAAATACCGCACAAAAGTTCAAACATACTCAAAAATAGTCCAAACATCGTCCCCTGACTATTTCTGACTACTTTTGAATATTCCTCCTATAGAGGGACATGCCCAACTTAAGTCTATTGTGCCTCTGCCCTGGGTGGCCCGCCGGCTGTTCCACCGCGATGGCGCTCGCCTTCGTCGCTGACCCCCAACAAGAGTAAGGCAAAGAAGTTGTTTGGCACGATGCGGAAATGTCTGGTTTCAGCCTTGACCGCCCGCGCCATCGTCGCGGCCGCGCGGGGGCGGCGCCATCCCGCCGTGAGCTGGCGGCCCCCAGCTCCTCGGTCCCCCAGACCCAATGCTGGCACTCGGGCAGCGAGAAGCAGACCTTGGCGCAGCTGTCGATCTCGCTCGCGACGAACTTGTCCGAGCTCATGCAATCGTCGAGGAAGCAACCGATGGTCGCGCCGTAGCCCTGCAAGTTGGTAAACAGCGCCTGCCCTGCGTTTCGGATCACCGTGTTCTGCTCCTAGGGGGGGATGAGGATGAGAAACAAGAGCGACATGATGACGTAAGGGTGAGGACAAAGGGAGAAGCCCTCCACCCCCTCCCTCTACAACCACAGTGTCTGCCTGCTACGGGCTGTGGCGACTGAGGCCCTGGAGCCTACATCCCCGCCGCCTTCTCCCCTTGCCCCCGCCTCATTATTTTCCTGCCTCAGGTCGCACAGGAGAGGAGGAGAGGGAGGATGAGAATGAGGAGGAAGAGGATACGGAGCAGACGCATGGGAGAGCAGATGGAGAGTAAAGAGGAAGAGGAGGAGGAGGAGGAGCAGGAGGAGGAGGAGGAGGTGGACTGACGTAAACGAATGCTCCGCCCAAATGCGTTCCACCTGCAGCCAACATCCATGAGCTAGCCAAGCTAGCCACCCCCGACAAAATGCGGTGGCCAGCATCCAGCTCAAGCCAGGTCCGCGGATGTGCTCACGGAGGAGGAACGAGGGACGAGAGGAGGAAGAGAGGGAGGAACAGGGGGCCACAGCGCTGTGCGCCCCCAGGAGGATGCGACGAGCTGCAGGCGAGGGGACAAAAGTGCGCGAGGGTGGGCAAAAGACCGGGCCGAACAACTGGCGGGAACAATGGGGACAGTGACGACTACCACGACGACGCCGACCGCGACGACGGCGGCGGGACGACGCTGACGACGACGATCACGGCGGGGACGAAGACGGCGATCGCGAACACGACGAGGACAAGGACGCACTCTGCTCCTGCAGAGATCCCCACGAGGTCACCTCAGAGTCCTCCAAAGGTTCTCAGAGGCCAAAGGGAGGAAAGGTCCAACACGTTCAGAACCATCGTCGATCCTCGGTCCTCCTCCGTCCTTCCTCTGAGATCCGTCCTGGATCCTGCCTCCTCAGTCCCGCCTCCTCGACCGATCCTCCCCGACCCCTCCGACTCGATCGTTCCCTTCCTTGGCCCTCGGAGGTAAGAAGGTGCCGATACAGGGTGCTCCCCGGACCTATCCTGGGGTGCGTTCTGGCCAAAATTTCGAGGAAAATCTAAGCATGGCGGTGAAGGCTCAGCGGTAGCGGTAGCGGGCTCCACGGGAGTCCCAACTCTTTCCCCGACTCTTTCATCAGGACCCGTTATTCATCTCGAACTGTTTTTGGACGGTCCTGGGCCCCCCAGACGCCGAAAGCTGCAACCAAAACATCCGTCATGTTTCGTAACGACGCGGGGACGTCTGGGCTTCTCAATCATTCTCGGCCCCGCCCCTTCGGATCGAAGACGCCTACCACAAATCACCGCCGCCCCCTGCCTATTGGAAACGCTCATGCGGCCAAACGTTGGGCCAAGTGTGGCGGGGCTATCTGACTATGTGTCCCCCCAGCTGTTGTGGAACCCCTTGGGGGAACACTTCGGAGAGGAAGAGAAAGGAGGACGATAGGGAGGAGGAGGATGGGGAGGAGGAGGAGGAGGAGAGGGACGGGGTGAGGGAGAGGAGGATGCATTTTGAGGCCCTCCTGGGGCCTTCTGGGGGCTTCGTGGGCCACTCTTTGGAGGCCTCTGAAGGTTCTGCGGCAACTCATGCGAGCCTGCCATACCATCTTGTTGGCTCTTGCGAATCAACACTAGTCGACGCTAAAACGAAGCTAATCAACGTTAAATCGGCGATATCCCATCGACTACCAGACGCTAACCGACGCTGGCGCGCTCCAAAGACGGAAGGTACGAAGGTACACAGGGTTCCGATGACCTGCTGCCGACTGAGGGAGCTCTTGGAGCCACGCCGCGAGGATGCCTGGGCTGTTCGATCCTCCTCGACCCCGGGCCCCGCCCCCTCGGCGCCCGCCCCCTCGACCCCCACCCCCTCGGCGCAAGCCCTCTTCGATCCTCCTCGACCCCCGCCCCCCTCGATCATCCTCCATAGCCAGACTCGAACTCATTCCTATCCCCAAAATGGGCAAGCAAAACGCGATGGCAATATTAAGGATGTACCTTCAGACACTGAGGGAACCCTTAAGATCTGCATCGAGGTAAGGTGATGCCAAGTATAGGGATAAGGATATGTCTCCGCGCGGTTTGTTCTGAACGCGCCCAAATGGAAGACGCGGATACCACGGCAAACCCACGGCAAACCCGGCGTCCAGCGACCCAGGTAGACGAAACTGGCACCGCGGTAAACCCTGCGGCGAGCCCACCGCCCCCGAAGCGCCGTTTGCCCTGGTGGCCGCGGCGCCCTCCCCAAGACGGACGGCCGCGCGTCGGATCAAGCGGAGCAGCGACTTATGCTTCAAACTGGGAACTCCATCCCCCTCGTATGGGGAAGCCAAGACGAGGAGAATATCGGGTGAGGATAAATCGAGCATCTCTGAGATCCGGCGGCCAAGGAGGATGTCTCGGGCGCCGCGGCCTTCTCAGAGCGCTCCGGAACGCTCTGAGAGCTTTCCGGAACGCTCTGGAACGGATTTATCCTCGTCCTAGCCCCGCCAGACCCCTCCTCATCCACACTTCAATCCCATGGCAACCATGTGCAATGATGACAGCGACGCCTGCACCGAGCCAAACTTCTCGCGCATAATGTCGTCGTCTACGGTGCCACCAGAGGCTTTCAGAAGGGATGCGCCTCCTGGACAAATCATATGGAGAACATGAAAGCACGCAATCACCCTCATAACGGTGCTGCACACCAGCGCCACGCTCCACACCAGGGCCCGTCCGAACTCAACCCCTCGGCCCTCGGCCCCCTCGGCGCCTGGCACCCGGGCCACTCGGCCGCCGCACCCCGCGGCAGGGCGCACAGCGACCCGAGGAGCGCCGCCCAGAGCCCCGCCATGTGTCTCTCCCCGGGCGCGCGCGCGGCCCGCGGGCGAGGCGGCGCGCCACCGAGCAGGGGTGCCGTGGCAACTCCTGGGGGCCTCTCTTGGAGCGCAGAGGGACGCGCACCCACAAATGCTCGCGTCGTGCAAAGAGCGGGGCTGGAGTCAGGTCGGGCGTGTCCTCCTTCAGGCGGAGTTTGGACGAACAAGTATACACAGCCGAATCCAAAATAATGAAACAAATATTCAAGATGCTTAAAGAAACGTCCCCAGACCATTGTTGTACCATTTTTGAATTTTCCTTCTGTAGAGGGACAGGCCCGACTGAAGGCTGGAGGCGTTTCTCCGTTTTCGGCCTCTGGGGGCCCACGCTGGGCCCTGGGACGGTCAAGACACGACTCAGGATGTGAAGAGCTGGTCCTGGGGACCGGGTCGGGACCTGCGGGGGCCGCGTATGGCAGTTATACTGGCGAAGGACCCAGACACGTGCAGTTGTGAGTACCGCCGTTGTGAAGAACGCCCTCGATGGAGCTCCCTACGGGGCCACGAAATGCATGAAGGGAGCGGCGACATGGGGCGTGGCCACCATGCGGGCGCTGCTGCTGGGAGAGGGTGGCCGCCATGTGGCCGACATGGGGCGTGGCCGCCATGTGGCCGCCCGCAGGGGCGCGGAGGTCAGACGGGCTACATGCTGATGTTTGCGGCTGACAGGCTCCGGGAGAAGCGGGAGAAGACGTGTGGACGCGATATGCGAACAACCTCTGAGGCCGTAGGTGGAGCTCCGTATGAGGCCACGAAACGTATGAGGGGTGTGCGAAAGTGAGGGGGGTGGCGGCGTGCGAACGCAGCCACTGGCGCCTTCGGTGGAGCTCCGTATGGGGCCACGAAATGTGTGAGGGGTGTGCCGAAGTGAGGGGGGTGTTGGCATGCGACCGCAGCCACTAGGGCCTAAAGCGTACCTCCCAATGTGGCCACGAAACGTGTGAGGGGTGTGCCAAAGAGAGGGGGGGGGCAACATGTGAACGCAGCCACAGGGGCCTTCGGTGGAGCTCCGTATGGGGCCACGGAGCGTGTGATGGGTGTGCCAAAGTGAGGAGGGGGCGGCATGCGACGCGAACGCAGCCACTAGGGCCTTAGGTGCCAGAGTGGGGGGGGGGGACGGGCATGCGAACGCAGCCACTGGGTCCTTAGGCGTAGCTCCGAATGAGGCCACGAAGCGTGTGATGGGTGTGCCGAAGTGGAGGTGGGGGTGGCATGCGAACGCAGCCACTTGGGCCTTCGGTGGAGCCCCCCATGGGGCCACGAAGCGTGCGAGGGGCATGCCAAAGAGAGGGGGGGGGGGGGCGGCATGCGACGCGAACGCAGCCACTAGGGCCTTAGGTGCCAGAGTGGGGGGGGGGGACGGGCATGCGAACGCAGCCACTGGGTCCTTAGGCGTAGCTCCGAATGAGGCCACGAAACGTTTGATGGGTGTGCCGAAGTGGAGGTGGGGGTGGCATGCGAACGCAGCCACTTGGGCCTTCGGTGGAGCCCCCCATGGGGCCACGAAGCGTGCGAGGGGCATGCCAAAGAGAGGGGGGGGCGGCATGCGAACCCAGCGACTGGGGTCTTAGGTGGAGCTCCGCATGGGGCCACGGAGCGTGCGATGGGTGTGCCGAAATGAGGGGGGGGGGGGGGGGGGGGGGGGGGGCGGCATGCGACGCGAACGCAGCCACTAGGGCCTTAGGTGGGGCATGGGGAGGGGCATGCGAACGCGGCCACTGGGGCCTTAGGTGGAGCTCCGAATGAGGCCACGAAACGTGTGAGGGGTGTGCGAAAGTGAAGGGGGTGGCGGCATGCGAACGCAGCCACTGGTTTAGGGTGTTTCCTCTTCCGCCGCTCTCTTCCCCATCGGGGAGGGGTTTATCCCTCCCCCATGCCCCTTCCCCTGGACATGGACGGCGCGTTCCGCGAGCGGTCGGAGCGTCCAGAACGGCCTCGGCGAGGAAGCCAAAATCATTGCTTCTCTTTGGCATTGGTCCTGTTTTGGTCTTTTGGGGGGGCAGCGCAAATTTGGACCCCCCCTTCTTTGATCGATGTCCTCCGAAATGGCCCCACGAGCGCTCCCAAGGCTCCCAAGGGCGCCCCAAGAGGGCCCCAAGAGGTGGCCAGGAGGCCCCAAGAGCCCCCGAGAGCCCCCCAGGACGTTCCCAAAAGGCTCCCCAAATACCCCCAAGAGGCCCCAAGAGGCCCCCAGAGGCACCCAAGACGCTCCAAGATGCCTCTGCGAGAATGACCAAGGTTTTGGCCACATCGTGGCTTCCTGGGGGGGGGGGGGGGGGGGGGGGGGGGGGCACTGCTTAAGATGACTCCAAAAAGCACCTGGGGGGGCCCAAGATGACCTCCAAGATGGCTCAATATGGTCCCCACGATGCTCCAAGAGACCCCAAGACCGCTCCAAGACGGCTCCAAGTGGGGCCAAACAGCTCCCAAAGGAGGCCCCGCAGAGGCCACAATCCTTCCCAAACCTGCGGACATCAGTGTTGCTGGCTTTCTCGCCTTTCCGCTGCCGATGGCCACCCGAAGCCTCAAGATAGTTTAAAGCTGGTCGGGAGGCCCAACCAGATGCTTCGCCGAAGGCGAAGCATACGTCCAACCCTGTCATGTCGTTTGAACGATAGTGCCAAATGCAGAGGGGAACCGCGTGAGCGGCGATGATACATCTCAAGAGTAAAGGGTGGAACCTTTCCTGTCTCGATGTAAGGTGGCGGGCCGCGGTGCGGCCCAGTCAGATAGGCGGCCAGTCACTGGGCCTGAATGGCCGCGGACAAACGCTCGATACCTCTCGCCCTTGCCCTTCCCCCTTCACCATCGGGGGGGGGGGGGGGGGGGGGGGGGCGAAGTGCGAGTCCGCTACCGGCCTGACTCAACAAAACAAATATATTGCACAAGAAAGGCAGCAGCCAACGGGCTCAACCTGAGCAGGCTACCCCGCAGCTTACTAATCCTCAGACGGCTCAGATGGTCTCGTCTGGCCAGCCCTGTAGGGAATGTGTCGTTTCAAGTCGTGCTTGAAGGATTACACTCTTTCCATGACTTGCAGGAGCATGTATCAGTCGATGTTCCCCTAGCTCCATCACTTGCCGTATCCAACTCCTGTGACCCAAAAATGTACATGCAATAAGCTTCTTCAGGTTTCTGCTCGACAAGGACACGAAGACGGGTTCTGCATCAGTGGTCAAAGTGACCGTAATGTCCAGGCCGCCCATGCCAAGTATATCCTTCAGTTGAGTGCGTATCAGCCTGACAACTGTGGGATAGCAGTTCTCCAGGTCATGGGCTGCTGCGAGTGTTTCAGCTGAGTAGCTCGAGCGGACTTGCAAGCGGTGAGACTTGAAGTGCGCGTCGGCAATATGAACGACGGACATGCCAGCATGCGTGGTTCCACGCCTTAGCAGGTCTGCTCCGCGAAGACCATGGCATTAGACTTCGTCGTCGGCATCGCCGTTCAGGCGACGGTAGCTGGAATCCGCTGTAAAGACGATCTTCTTATGGCAGGCCTGCAGCTTCCTGGAAGTCGCATTTAGTGCGTGATAGTGTCGAAAGCTGGAGCGCCCCTGTGGCTGACCAACACGTCAGCGGCCATCTTCGATGCTTTCGCATCAGCATCTGCGCCCGTGAGTTCGCGATGCTGGATAGGACGGAGCTGTTTGATATATTCGTCTTGGTCAAGAGTAACATGGCTGTCGCTGTCCTTGGCATGTCTCACAGCGCAGTTGGTGTACATGTGTTCGTTGAGCATAGAATCCCCAAACATACCCTCAACACACTTGCGCACTTGTCAATGGTGCCTTCGGTACCGGCCATGTTTATATCATCAACATGTTCGCCTGTGAGATGGCGGGGGCTCGCCACGAACTCCTCGTCGCAAGACGTGAGTCTGAGTCCGAGCACCCCGTGGGCTTTCTGAGCTTCGGTGAGAAGGCTCCCGGTGCATCATTGGTGACAGTGCCTGGTTTAAGGCACTACGAGCAGCGTCTTGACTCATCATAATGCTCGAATCCTGGGAGAAATCTGAGCGCTGATGCTGAACCAGGCGGCAACATAAAACGCGCCGCGCGTTCCTTCTCACCAGTCGCTTCAGCGAGCTCTTGATTCGTGAGCCCCTCTAGGAGAGCCATGTTGATGTTGGGGGAAGCCATGTTTAACTGCGCCCTGCACGCTGCCGCGATGGCGAGCAATCGCTGGATTGATCGCCGCGCCGTTCCTGAGGGCGTTTCTACACCGAAGGCTTCGAGGTCCGTGGAGCCCCGAAGTACCGGGCGCAACCTGATGATGCGCTCCATCTCGCAGTCCTCGTTGTTGACGAATTTCAATTTGAGTACTTAGAGCACTTATTATCAAACCATGCATTTAGTTCAAGATATAACACTTTCGATACCTTGACTGGATTCGCATGAATATCTGCCTTCGCGAGAAGGCCGTCCTCCTTGACGACTGCAGCTCGCTCGGCTGCAGCGGTCACATATACTCGCATCGTGAGGACACGGTCGAAGTCCAATATCCCACGCTGTTGTTTGGACGAAACATTCTTCTACATTTCTGCCGCAAAACAAAAAATACATATTCTCCGTGCTCGTCGGAGTCCAATCCGCAACTACCATCTTCGCCCGTGGAACACAATGGGGCATGATATGTCTCAGTTGTGAAGATGTCCTGTGGGTTACCCCACCTAGGCAAGTGCCCTTGCTGTTCTTCAGTTACTGTGACCAGCGCGCTGTTAGCAGAAATCATTTGTGTGGGTGAATTGTGAAGTTCTTCAACTGGAGTAGCCTGCCTGCAGCAGTTCCCTTTCGTCCTGTAGTTCCACTTCCATAATGTGTGCCTCGAGGTCTGCCTCCAATTCCTCATGGATTGCGGGGCGCCGGCCGACTTCCTGTGGTGGTTCGGCTTCGGGGGCCCGCCTGGCATCGCTGCCTTGCGTTGGCACGTCAGCCAGGTCATCGAACTTCGATATTTCTTGGTCGAAGCCTTCTTGAGGTTTGGCGGGCTCCAGGCGCTGGATGATTCTAGAGCGTGCCGATCCAAGTGCGTCTTGAATGTGTAGGGCAGTGCCGTCAGCTTTCATAGTAAAGGAAGCCTGGGTTCACGTCGTTGTCATAGCGCACCAGCGTACAACTGCCAGCATACGTTACCAGAAATCATTTATGAATGCTCTCAGCTGACCTAACA